CCCCAAAACCCCAAAACCCCAAAACCCCAAAACCCCAAAACCCCAAAACCCCATTTTAGTATCAACTATAGTTTATTATAAATAATTTAACAATGCGTGGCTCTTACTGCAGTAAAAAGTTTGAGTATTCAAGCATGATGAAGAAGAAAATGAGGACATTTCTGAGAATAATCGGCTTTTAAACGATCATAATTCTGTTAGAAATAATAACTCAAATGGTCAACATAATAATTATGGGACTATTTCAGGTAGAATGGGAGAAAAAATTGTAAGATAACCTAATGTCTCTCAGCAGCAACCTGGTACTGAACTTCAACTTGAGCAATCTCGACAGAATGCCAATGCTCAATTAGATTCTAGTGTTGATGAAGAGTATATTTGTCCTGTTATTTTGGCGCTGAAGAAGGAAGTGATTATCTCTCTGCTCATTTTTCGATTTTTTACCTTTATAATTGAGAGATACTGAGCACACCAAATTAACTCAAATATAAATCCCCCTCAAAGTGAAGTGAAGACACTGTGAAACCCAAGGAGTCACAATAGTGAAGAGAGTTACCTCTAAGTATCAATGGTTTGTGTGCCTTTGGATGATTACCTTCTGCTTCCTCTGAATCGCATGGACTCCATTTTGATTTGAAAGTTGTAAAGATATCCATCATTGATGAGAACATATTGGTGAAGCTCTGCTTAAGAGTGATATTGATGCCATTCATTCAGCACTTAAAGATAGAAAAATTCAGATAATACGACAGTAACTTCATATAAATTATGCTATAGAAAGAAAAAGCACTTAGGAGACTAGGAAAAGACCCTCATCCAGCCTTAATGCAGAGAGAACTAGAAGAACCATCTAGTGATCTTGCTTATGATGGAGTTATGCATCCCTTTGCCTCTGTTTTTTATTAATGGAACCAACCGTGAAAATCAAAGATATATTCTGAATTATGATCAAAACTAACTCCAATCAATAAGATTTAGACAGAATATTTGCTAAAGTACGTATCAATGTTTCAATATTTTAAAAATCTAAGGGGTTTTGGGGTTTTGGGGTTTTGGGGTTTTGGGG